TTGCAGCCATATTCTTTGAATTTTTTTTTATTTTTTTTATTTTTTTTTCCTTTCTGCAAGTTAAATGTAAATGCAGATGTTATGCCTTTAACACGTGATTGACTAGTCATACTTAAATTTTTTTGAATCGACGAAAGCCCTGTTCTCACAAATTGCCTTATTTCATTTTCTTTTGGTAGACACGGCACATACAGATGTTAACTGTTCTCCAAATAACCCTAGTTTACTGATGAAACTACAAGAAAAGTGCTGTTTAGAAGTAAATCTGAAGTGCTCCATTAGTCTGAAACAGAAACTCTCAAATAATTGATGCAATCTAATTCAAAACTTCCATAATAAAGGTTGAAACAACATGTTCAATAATAAAAAAATAAAATAGTGAGTGCAAGACCTGCCTTTTGTCACAGCAAGAACCAGATTCACGATAATGTCGACAAACAAGTTCCAAGAAAATCTCAAATGGCAATATGGAATCTACGGAAATGAGTTTTAACAAGAGAGAATGCAATGTGTTGAGAAATATTTAAGCATATACAAAATCCATAAGGCATTGTTCATACATCCTCATCGAAAGCTACGTTTATCCAAAGAAAATGAACTTACTTTTTTTTTTTCTTCATTGATCTTCATTTGCGCCAAACAAAAGCCACCACCCGCAGACTTTCGAATCATATCGCCTCAAGCTTCAAATGATCAGAATTATCAACCCATTAATGCAAACAGTGTACACATCTCATTTCCAAAGCATTAGCAATATGCATATATGAACATTTCTATATCCTATATAAGAATATATTGATTCCTGCTAGAACCCATCAAAGTGTTGTCAAATTACCTCATAAAGAAATCCTCATCAAAAAACACTCTTACCATTTTCGAACAAGCAATTAACAACCGAACAGCAATGTCAACACAAAGAAAAGCCCCAATCTTCATATACCCCTAAACAAAAATTCCCAGTTTTTTTGCATCAAAAGGAACCAAGAAAAAAGGTAAAATATCAGTTATCTGCATCAAAAAATTATTCATTTCAGTAAGTGATAACAATTATCAGAAGAATATATTAATTCCTGCTTGAACTCATCAGTTTTTGTCAAAGAAAATTTCCTTCTAAATAAATCATCTCTGGTATGATAGGTTAACAACAGTATAACAATGCAAAGAAAAAACCCCAATTCTTCAAAACCCTAAACCAAAACCCCTCAAAACCAAAATCAAGCAGATGAAAATCTCAAAAACCCTAATCCAAAATCAAGCCGATTTATTTTCATCGCCACCACCGGAATTCTCCTCGGCCTCCTCCTTCTCCCCAGACACATCCTTCAAATTTTCTCTCTCTTGCTCCAATTGCCTGGCCGCCTCCTCCTCAGCAGCCTTCTCCGCCTGCAAGAGCGGGGCGTAGTAATCGGAGTGCGCCTCCATACAGCTCTTCAGAGCCGCCGTCACCTGGAAACACTTCTCGACAATATCCTCTTTGTTCTTCTCGCCTTCCTCGACGCACTTTTCCCAATCTGTGAAGGCCTCCTTGCATCCGCCGCCTTTCATGAACAGGCAAAATCCACACTCGCCTTCTTCTGTTTCTCCTTCTCCTTCTCCTCCTTGTTCGCTATTGTCTCCGTCTATGGTCTCTTCTTCGGGTTTTTCTCCGGGGATTGCTTCATTTTCTGAAGCTTGTTCTTTAATTTCTGCAGCGGTTGGCTCTGGTGGAAGATCGGCGGATATTTCGATTGGGGATTTCGGTTCTGGGGTTGTGGCGCCGCCGGAGAGCTCGGGATTCGGGGAGGACATGGTGACGGCAGCGTCGTCGGTGGCGGTGGAGTCAGCTTGCGAAGGTTTGGAGAATAAGTCGCCCATGGCTGCTGATAAACCCCCTCTTCTTAAACCCCTTCTCTGATTTTTCTTTCACCGATTTTGTGTGTGTGTGTGTGTGTGTGTTTTCTCGGTCTATTATTTGACTTTTCTTTACGGAGGGGTCAATTCGATAACTTGTGAGCTCGGTAAATTCACCTATCGTATGTGTTTTTCTTTTCATTTATTTATTGGTTTACTAATTTTTATAGGTTATATTAAACGAGTTATTTTCACTATTCGTTTAAGTTTAAAAAGAAATAATTTTTATATATTTTAATTAACGTTATGTCTAAAAAACAATATGGTTATAATCTATTTTCACCTCATTTAATCAACTTTTTTTTTTGGTTAGAACATTAAATATAAACATGTTAGGGCTAGTTTGTAAAATAATCAATTTATTATCTCACTAACACATTTATACTAATATACATTTGATTTTAATATATATATATCTTGATATAAGAGAAAAAATTTTACTTATTCTTGTTCACCATATAATACTTAAATATTATTTTATTATAAATTTGGTTGTCATTTAATGAAATAATTATATTTATAAAAGTTATAGAAGTTGTACGTCTTCTATTTTTCTTTTTATGTTATGTAATAAAATATATTTAATCCACATTAGTATTATTTATTTATGTAATCAATTTAAAATGTGTAAATAAATTTAAAACTAATATTGTATAAATATTTACAAAATATACACATGTTTTCTTAGAATTTAATCTTGTATACTAATCAAACAACTTTGATTTAGCAAATTCTAAAAACTCAATCACTTAACTACCCACGGCTGGCACATGTTAATATGTCCAACGCTTATGTGGCATGCACACATTGGTGATTTATATGTTCAAAAAAATACATTACCATTGTATGCATGTCACATAAACGGTGGACATATTAACATGTGTCCACGTGGGTAAGGGAGCATTTCTCCACTTCTCACTTTATAACCAAGATTTTTCTAATTTGCATTATAAAGATTTATAGTTTATTTAGCATAATATGCAATAATATGCAATGAACGTATATTTTAGAAGAATTTTGTTATAGAAAAAAATCAAAATAAAGAAAAATGATAAAAAATTGAACATGATTGCCAATAATATTCAAATAAATTTTAAAGAACTGTTAATATATTTCAATTTTAATTTTTGAACACTAATAAAACTATTTAATGTATCTGGTCATTATCTCTCAATTAAATGATAAATTATATTAATTTGAATGATAATTTATTTTTTATATATAACAAAATGAAGCTTAAAAAAAATACATTGGCAAAGATTAATTCATCAACTTGATTTCACCTGATTAATTGGAAGAAAAATTTTTACCTAAGTTGTTACGATTTTCTATAATTTTTTTTTTAATAAAAAGTGAATATTTGTGAAAAGAAAAATATTATGGTTAGAATTTAAAATATGTTGTAATATTTATTTTGGCCAAAATATTATCAACATGAATCACGAAAAATCAATCTTGTAATTTATTATAATAGGTATCAATAAAATTATTGCAAATATTAGTAAAGTTGTGTAAGATAACAATTGATCATATCTGGTTTGATCATATTTGATTTGAATTTGATCATATTTAAAAATGTGTATATGGGAGCAATTAAAGCATATATTTAAAAAGTTTCCAAAAAAGAGGTATGTAGTAAATGCTCCCAAAAAATTTTACTGCTATTTTTTTTGTAATTAGTGGACATTTTTATGAAATAGGAAGACTGTCCCATATACTTAACTATTAAACAACCATACATTTTAAATAATTATGTGCACTTCTTAATAGAAATCTATTAATATATAATAAGGATTAACATAATTCACTTTTAAAAACTCTTTCCCGCCATTAGCATTAAATACACCCTATTTATAGTAATTCTTTATCAAAAAAAATATCTAACACTAATGATGCAAAGAACTTCCTTAATAATCGCATGGAAACAAATAATTTACTCCCTTAAATATCGCATGCTAAGATTTATACCTAATTTCTTTCCGATTCTTCCAAATTATTCCAAATAAAATGGGTTATGCATAGAATCAACCAATTTACCAATTATTTTTATAATTTTGCTGAATAAATAAGATTAAGGCCGGTTGAACATGGTATAATATAGTTTAATTTACTAATTTAATATAATTTTGCCAAATGATATAATACTGGTTGTACATAGTACAATATAAATTAATAATTTAATAATTATGCCAAATAATATAATAATATATTATAAATTTAATAATATAATGATATATTTCTTTCAAATAAAACCGGTTGTACATGGTATCAGTACTATATCTTTATGAATAAAATAAGATTAGACTTAAATTATATTTCAGTAATCTTTTCCCGTCATGCATTAATTATTACCTAATTTAGTATTCCTTGACAATTCGGGATAGCATATCTCGGCGCATTAATGGTCAAATGATATGGAATAACTGATTTAATAGTTGATGGATTCAATTCCTGTTTTTTATGGAATCAAATATCAGGTGTATACACGTTTCAAATAATTTAAAATATAATAATAGGCTGAATGATTTATGCGTCGGATTCATGCAAAGAAAATTTTGAACAGATTTCTAAAATCATGGTTTGTATATATCATCTATTCGACAATTGAATTTTTTTTAACATTATCAGTTTGAAAAGGAAAACGAATTTTATATATCTTATCGGTTTTGATAATACAATGTTATAATCATTGTCATTATTCATTTTAAAAGATAATGTTTATCATTTATTTGCTTTCAAAAGATGTTTTTTTTTTGTATAGTTTAGGTCTCTTTTTATTTATGCATTTACACAAATTAACTAAACGATTGGCAACAAAATTTTTTATATATTGAATCAAACCAGTAATTAATAAAAAAAGTCCATCAATCACGAAATTAAAAAATAACACACGACCCTACATTTAAAAAATTAAATTTTTGAGATAAACATTCATTTATATTGTCACGACGATAAACAAGGGTGAGTGTCAGTCTTTATTCGCACGTTTGCATATTCTTGAAAAAACATGTTTTCAGTTACGATCACTTATATATTGCAATTTCGCGTGATACAAATAGAAAATGGTTGACAATATTAATTTGTGGGAATAACGAGTTGCTCAATATGATATAAATAAAAAATAAATTATTAATTGCATAATTTTCATATAACTCGGCTTTCGGTTTGTGTTTGTTTTAGTCAGTTCTTGGTTTCCTTTAAATACGTTGATAGTGGTTTTGTAGGCAAAAATTATGTAAATAATTATATGTAGCATTTATCGAGGATTTTTTTTTTTTTAAAAAATTTATTAGAATCGTTGATTTGGATTAGCATATATGTTACGTACACAAAAAACAAATTTATAGTAATATTTAAATTTACATGGCGGGCAATTTTAGAATTCTCATTTGTGAGGATTCTTATTTATTTTATCATATTTATTAGAACCAACAATTTGAATTGACATTTATATACACAAAATATAAATTTATATTAATATTCAAATATGTTTTACATTGTAGCAGATTTTGAAAATGAACGATTTTATATGAGACATATACAATTTTTTTTTTTTTTTTGAGATATAAACCAATTCCCTTAATTGGTATTCTTTTTGTAAATTGTTTTTAAAAGAAAAAATTTCAAAATTTTATATAGTAAATCGATTTTTCGTTTTCATATACACAAAATATAAATCGATATATGCAAAATCTATATCTATATATATATATTTAATACATAAAACTTGTCACACATATAATAGGAAAGTTAGCCAACTAAAAGTTGTTCAGCTTGAAGATATATATAAAAAGTTCTCACACATCTAACTAAAAATTGTTCAACTTGAAAAAATTAGCGTGAAGTAATGTCTAACCACTAATGTTTTTATATTTTATATCTACTATATATAATATTTCTCATAAAATTAGCGTGATGTAGCATTTATCGATATAATTACTAATATTTTTTAGCGTGATGTAGCCAATTTAATGTTTTATATTATTCATACATATTTTTGTAGATATAATTACTAATATTTTTTAGACTTGAATACATACTATTCACATGTAGTATTTTGTATATTTTAAACATGTTGTGTATATATGTATGGGTGTTGAATTTTTTTAAGACATGTTTTACTTATAAAATAATTTAGAAAGGTGACCTCACATTTTTTAAGAATAATATAGAATATTTTAGATAATCTTACACATGTTGTATAACAATTTAGTGTTTTTAATATTTTAAACATACATGTTAAAGGTTCTTTTAAACAACATAAAAAACTATAAAAATTTTAGTGAATATTATTTAGCTAATCAAGTATAATCGATATTAAAATGATAAACTAACAACTCATTTGTCCAACTGTCGTATAAATTATCATATTATAAATAGATTCATTTTAGACTTCTTTTTAAGTTCCAGCGGCACCAGTTCCTTCTGATTTTGAGGTTCTATTTAACAGTCAAGGTCATTCTTTTTGTATAAAAAAAATATTGAAATATTAGTGAATATTATTTAACTAATAAAGTATAATCGATGCTAAAATGATATGCTTGGATATAAATTTTTTTGGATTTGTTTGTAGTTTTTGGTTTGGTTTGGTTAATTTTGAAAAAGTGGTGTGGTTAGTTGATAGTTTGTATATTGAAATAATATTTAAAATGAAACAATTAAAGGTGATTTGGTTTAAAAGTAGGAGAGAAATGATTTGAAGTGATTGTTAGTTAAAATTATGCGGGTCGATGACTAGTGAATTAAAGTTGATGTGGTGTGTAAGAATGATTGATTGATATTATTTAGTTATATTGATTATATTGAAGGTAGTGGGGTTGAGTTAAATATGATTAGATTCATTTGGATAGACTTGTATCTAAGCATCCTCTAAAACAATACAGTTCATTTGTCTGTCTGCCTAAGTAAATTATCATATTATAAAAAGATTCATCTTAGGATTCCATTTAAGTTCCAGAGCACCA